GAAACACACTTGCTGTTGAGTATGTGTTTGACCTTTAGCCAAGTTGTAAACGAGCAGTGCATTTGGGCCCACGAGTGAGCTGTGGTTGTAACGTCCATGCAAACTGTACACGCACCATAAACCACCACCCAGGGAGGACTAGAGGATCACTAGGGCAAGTGGTCAGTTCCCACGCCAGCTCAACCCAGATGGAGCCACTGCTTCCTCCAGACTTAATGGCTTCATCCAGACAAGTGATCTTACACCCCATAAATAAGTGTCAACCGCCTGGTATTTGTTGGGCTCTGTGCCAGCTGGCAATTATATCATATTTATCATATCATGTTTTATATTGTAACAGGACAGACAAGGCTCCTACCCTGAGATGCTCACATCCTGTAAGAAGACAGCAGGGCATACGTCATGAACGAGGAAACAAATAGTGTTTAGAAGGGAAGAAACAGGATGGCCTTGGGTAGGTGGTCAAGGAGGGCCTCCTGGAAGAGGTGGCATTTAAGGGGAGACCCCAAGGATAATAACTCAAAATCACCATGGCTGTTAAGCATTCTGGGTGCAGCAACCTCAGTAGAAAGGCCTGGAAGGTTCCAGAGCGGGTCAGATACCCTGCCGTGGAACATCCTGCTGTTCCCACTCCATGGACGTTGCTCTTTGCAACACCCTGGACCATGGCTCTGGTATGAATAAAATGTCGGGGGCTGGGAGTGGGTCTGAGGGCCGAGGGCTGGAGGATGAAGCATTCCACAGCTCCCTCCAGGCCTTGCGGCACCTGGAGGGCTCCCTGTTCTTCTCTTTTTCAAAAATCTTGGTAGAACACTTTTTCACACTTTTTACAGAATAGCACGTAGGCTTCCTAATGGGTACAGCTGACTCCATGTGTTTTAATAGGCATGTCCACCCACACTGTCCCTTCCTCCCACGCTACAATTCTGTGCCTGAGAGATGGTAAAGTGAAAAGCGCTTTCTGGGGACAGGAAACTCCCCTGGGACCACCACACTCTCCCCAGGCTCCTTAGAGCTAGTGTGACTGGTGTTGGTCCTACAATCCAGAGTCACATGGAGAGTTCCCATTCCTTTCCCCCCCAAAAGCCCTTCAGAGACTTGGAGACCCACCAGGTGCTCAGAGCCACCTTCCCAAATTCGTCAGCCCACTGCCCTCCAGCCCGTCTCCTGGCCCCAGACCCGCCCCGAACAGGGCTCAGCTCTGGGAGCACCCTCTGGGAGTGGACAGCTAGCGCTCTTGCTCCAGGCACCATGCTTCTGCCATCACTGCATCTATGATGTGACAGGTACTGGGATTAGGGTCACACACATGATCGCTGAGCTGTCCTTGTGCGTATTGGCACAGCTGTGGAGGTCTCAGAGCAGGACCTGTTCTGACTAAATACATACATACATGTATATGACGTTTGAGGTGTGACCTGGGGCAGTAAGGTGACCCAGGAGGAGGAGTCATGCATTCGCTCAGCAGCCTCTTCCTGGACACAGAGGGGAAGTAGACACTGCTTACCCTCATGAGGTGCTCAGCTTTGTGGGAAGATATAGCAGCAAAGGTGCCAGGCAGCCGGTGCCAGTGGCTCACGTCTATAATCTGGCTACTTGAGAGGCTGAGATTGGGGAGAATTTCTGTTTGAGGCCAGCCCCAGGAAAATAGTCTGAGAAACCCCATCTCAAAAATAACCAGAGCAAATTGAACTGGAGGCGTGGCTCTGTAAGCACAAAGTCCCTGAGTTCAAACTCCAGTACCACAAAAAAAAATGGTGTCAGGCACCCTCTGCCTGCCTCATTCATCTCCTTGGATTATCACTATGAAGTCAGGCTGCTTGTAGCATTCTTCTAGTTCATAATGAGAAAACAGTCTCCAGGAGGTAAAATAACTCGCTCTGGTAGTCAGAGGTGACATGAAGATTTGAATCCATATGTGTGTGACTCGAAACTCAGGTTCTTCCGCCCAGCATTGTGCCTTTGTCTTGTGCCTGAATTCTGTCATTTTTTCATTATTGCTTGTTGAGTCAAGACTAGCAGCAAACACAGCTCAGCCCCACCTCACCCCCCTGGACACCCAGGAGTGAATCCCTGACACAGGTGAGCTCACCCAGGAAGGGTGAAGGAGAGAAAGAGGCTCCGAGGGCAGGTCCCCAGAAAAAGAAACAAGTCACACCTGCAGGCTGCACCTCTAGGAGGAGTGGGCAGGGCAGAGGACAGGGGTGCAGCCTGCTGTGGGCCTTGTGAAGGCCAGAGCTGAGGGAGCTTGGAGGTGGTAGTCTTGGAGGTGGTGGTCTTGGAGGTGGGCCACTTGAGGAATGAACCCCAAGTGTAGGCTATCCCGGGCTGATGGAATCCCTAATTGCAGACTTAGGATGGCAGTAGAAGCCAAGATCCAAAAGGTTAAGAGTGGGTGATGCAGAGGTGGAGGCCTCTGTGCAGAAATTTAGCTTTCTGAGGAAAATGAAAGCTAGAGGAAGAGGTCACTGGGAACAGAGGACTTCCTGGTTTTGTGTTTCATGTTTGGGCTCGGTTTTGTCTGGTTTGGGATGGTGAGGTGGGTGCTCATGGGTGGAGAAGGGAATTGGTCAAGAAGGAGAAATGAAAGTGCAGAACCCACAGGATTCTACACCATGGCACTGTCACCACTGGCCACAGCACATATTCATTCAGTGCCCTTACCATCTGTTCCCAGCAGCGCAGGCATGGGACAGCTGCTTAGTGAAGAGCTCTGCCTTGAGTTGACTTCCTGGGCTCCTAGGGAGCTCAGTGGCTGGGTCCTAGGGAGAGAAGTATTCCTGGGGCCTAGAGGAGGGTCTCCTCCCTGACGCTGAGGGGACAGGGACAGGAGGAAGGAGCAAAGTTGGCAGTAAGAAGAGGCCATAGCTCACTCCAAGCCTTCCCAAAAAAATGTGAGGGAATCACAGAAGTGCAGAATGAAGAATAACAGGCCGGGTGCCAGAGGCCCATGCTTGTAATCCTAGCTACTCAGAGAGCAGAGATCGGGAGGACCACGGTTCAAAGCCAGCCCTCAGCAAATAGTTCTCAAGACCCTATCTAAAAAATATCCAATACAAAAAAAGAAAAAATGGAGAATAACAGCAGCTGACTATGTCCTGTGAGAACATTCCAGAAGGTTAGTTGTCATTTATTTATTAGCATTATTCTGCATTTGCCCCACCACTCTAAGGGTAGTTCGTGCATTAATTCATTTAGTTCATGCCTCTCTGAGGCAAGAAACAAATCAGCCCTGAGGTGTTGTTACAGTCAATGGTGGAGAAGTCAGGATTTGAACTCTGGATTTGGAGCTGACATAAAGCCTGTAATGTTGCCCATTAAACCACATGCTTCCCTCCCCAACATTATTTTAATATGCCTCACTTTGTACGGTGCTCTTCTCACCAGGAGCCTCTGGGATGGGGGGGGTCATTGTCTTCAGGTTTCACGTGAAGAAACAAAGAAGTGTAGTGACTTGCCAGGGTCACACAGCTACCTAGTGGCTAATCTGGATTGCAGTTTGTACCTCTCCATCTGCAAGCCCAGTGCCTCCCCCTTCCCATAGGGAAGAAACGCAGGAATTCAATAGTGAGTCAAGTGCCAAAAGGCAGGTACCAGCTGGACAGGTAGGCAGTAGTCTGCATCATCTCCAGAGGGGTTTATAGGCTCTGGAGAGCATTGGGGCTGGCAGGTTAGGAATGACAGGAAGAGCAGGGGGTCGGGGGGTGCTGCCCAGCTCCCATGGCTGTCTCTGGGTTGGGGCAGAGAGAGGCAGAATGAAATAAGAGCAGGCGCTGTGGGCTGGGAAAACCACAAGGAGCCCAGGGCTGGGGACTCCACAAAGACCTGCTGTAGTGGGAGGAAGGGAGGGGATTCCAGGGCCCCAGTCCCTGGCAGAGAAGGTCCTGAACCATGAGTGGCCCAAGCCAGCTCCTCCTCTGAAAACCACTCAGGACTGTGAGCTGCCTCGGGAGAGAGCAGCTTCCAAATACAGAGAGAGGGAAAAATGCCCAGGGGTCTTGAGGGGAAGGGGCTTCCTGCATGAGCGAACCAGCTTGGAGCCGGCGCAGACAGGAGTGTGGGAGGTGACAGAGCAGCCTTAAAACCTGGCAGGCCCAGCCACTGCCTCTTCTGCAGACCTGAGGACAGAGAGGCACTCACTGGTGAGAATATCATCCTCGGGGCTACCTTTGCCCAGTGTGGGTACAGGGAGCAGGGACCAGAGAGGGGCCATGAAAGGAGACCCCTAGCCCCTTGGTGGGGAGCAGGACTGAGGGAGGGTGGCCCCATATATGGCCTCCTTCATATCTTGAGAGAGGTTTCAGTGGCCACCTGGACAGTGGGGCCTGGTGCCATTGGTCCGTTCCAGCCAGGAGATGTGATCTGGGGGGTCCTTGGAGCATAGGGACTTCAACATGGAGGCTTGGGGGGGGGGCTGTCCCTTGGGTGACCTGGCCACTCCCCAGCCTCCACATCCTTCTCTATGCTTCCATCAGTCTGTCTCTGTCCTGTCCACCTCTCATTACTATGGCCTTGACTCCACTCTGAAATTATCTTGTGGCTGTCTGGGCTCACACTCCTCTGTGGTCATTTGATAAAAATAGACAATACCACATCCCTTTCCTGGGGACCTGCCTTGGGCTCCAGGGCAGCTGTTCCAAGGCCTCTATTACCACAGTGTTTGAACTCAAGGCCTCACGCTTGCTACGCAGGCAGTCTACCACTTGAGTACTCCACCAGCCCTTTTTGTGATGGGATTTTTCAAGATAGGGTCTTAAGAACTATCTGCCGGGGCTGGCTTCGAGCCACCATCCTCCTGCGTAGCTAGGATTATAGATGCGAGCCACAGGCGCCTGATGTTGTCCTTACTCTTTCAGACTCATTTGTAGAGGCCTCTGGCTGTGCCCTTGCCCCAACAGCCCGGGCCCAGGGAGCTCTGGTGTGCGGCTGGGTGTTTATTTATTCAGGTACGCTGAGGCCAACAGATCAGAAAACAGCTGCCATTTAAGAGTGTTACTTACAGTTCCAGGAGAAGGGCTGCAGCAGGCCACGTGGAGTCACATGGGGGAGTCTCACAGGGGTCAGGTACAGAAGCAGCAGCAGATTTCTGAGTGAAAAGCCTGGCAGGGAAGGCAGGTTGGAACTGTCCAGTTCAGATCACTACAGTGGCTTCAGGCTTCCCTAGTTGTCTGGACCTGGTCTGGGGTGACTTAGTCTAGCGGAACCCTGGCTGGACTGTGAGGGTGAGATAAAGTAGGGGGTGGGATAAAAGCTTGGATTGGTTGGTTTACGTGTGGACAGAATGCTCCCAGGGGAGTCCTTTGCTGTCTCTAGGAATTAATTAACCCTATCAAGAGCCAGTCTTTCCCTGCTTAGCAAGAGCCAGAAGGAAGATGACCTGAAAGTGTCAAAGCACCATGAAAGACAGAAAGTAAAAGGCCAGGCGCAATGGTTCATGGCAGTCATCTAGGCTACTCAGGAGACGGAGATCAGGAGGATTGCCTTTTGAGGCTAGCCCCGGCAAAGTTAGCAAGACCCCATCTCAACCAACAAGCTAGACAGTGGCACATGCCTGTCATCCTACATGGGAGGCTATAGGTTTGAGGATCACAGTCTGAGGCTGGGCCTGGACACATAACAGGAGACCCCACCTGAAACATAACTAAAGCAAAAAAGGGCTGGTGGAGTGGCTCACATGGTAAAGCACCAGCCTAGCAAGCGTGAGGCCCTGAGTTCAAACCCCAGTGCCACCAAAGAGTAGAAAATAAGAACCATGTTTAATGCACAGGGGTTGCTCAGAGGCAGTGAGTAGAGTCAAAGTGTTACCAGAACCAGCAACGCTCCAGAGATGAGGCCTCCAAAAGGGAGGAGGCCTCCACCTGGCCCTTGGTACCGAGTCCGTGATGTTGTCACAAAAAAGAATTTTAGGACACATCAAGATAGTGACCAGGAAAGTTTATTAGTAAAGCAAAGCAAAGGAAAGATAGAAAGATAATACACAGCCCAGACATGGGTACGGGCACACGTGATGACAGGTGCAGTGAGTGCTCTAACATCGGGCGTATTTATGCTGAAACAGTAGGTTGGGGGTTTGGCTCACATTTGCCTTAGGAAAGAGTGCTCTTCTTTGTTCTGACACCTGCTATAGTTTATCATTTTTGCTGTGACACTGTTTTATCAGTGGGGACCAGAGACTTCAAAGGATGCTCCAAGATAGGTGTCATCTTGGTAAATACTTTTTGTGCCCAGAGGAGTCATTTTCCCAGGTGTTCTTCCCCAGAATAAGTCTTTTGTTAAGATATCCTTGCTCACTGAGGCCAATAGGAAAAGGGGAACAGGTACTAGAGAAAAGGTGAGATCAAAAAGAATTAACCTAGAAGGTAACACCCACGCACAGGAAATCAATGTGAGTCAATGCCCTGTATAGCTATCCTTATCTCAACCAGCAAAAACCCTTGTTCCTTCCTATTATTGCTTATACTCTCTCTACAACAAAATTAGAAATAAGGGCAAAATAGTTTCTGCTGGGTATTGAGGGGGTGGGAGGGAGAGGGAGGGGGCGGAGTGGGTGGTAAGGGAGGGGGTGGGGGCAGGGGGAGAAATGAACCAAGCCTTATATGCACATATGAATAATAAAAGAAAAAGAAAAAAAAAAGATATCCTTGCTCAGTTTTCAAAGGGCACTAATTACTTTTGGGCAAGCGGGCAAGGCCAGAGGGAGAGAGTTGCTCTTTTTCCACTTTTTTCTTTTTAGTAAATGTTGCACTTTGTTCAGGGAGTGTAATGCTTAAGGCAAAGAAGAGTATTTATATGGTTTTAGTTGAGCTTTTCATTAGTACAATGCTTATTTGTAAATTCCTGTCTGCTGTTTCCCATGCCTCAGTTTCTCTGGTCTATCCTGCTTCAGAAGGAAAGATTCTTGGGCTAAACCTTTGGGCAACTCATTTCACTTATCTGAGCTTCAACTTCCTGAATCTGAATCTGTTACTCATTCAACAAACAACTGTTTAAGGGGACAGACACATCTACTTGCCATGGTCACTGATAGTTTGGAAGTAATATGGGTGGGTCTGGCCATTGGCGTTGCCTAGTAAGTGGTAGTTGGTGGCTTCACCCTGTTGCAGCACCAAGAAGCAATGGAGAAAGACTGGGGGGGTGGGAAGATGGGGTCTAAGGCTATCTACCTGTCTGCTCAGAGCCTTCAGAGCAGAAGCTAGAGGTGGTCAGAACCTCAGGAATGTTCTTGGAACTCAGAGGCGCTGCTGGACAAAAGCCATCCCAGTAGCCAAGACCCCAGGGAATCTGAAGCTGTGCGTTTGAAGGCCAGGCCTTGGGAGGTGCCAGGAGTTGGGGCAGAGCACTGGCACAATGACCCCTCTACTTGGGATCCTGGAGACAGTGTGGCACCAGAGGGGAAAAGCTGGCAGACCATGGCAGCTGAGCAGCTGTGGATAAACAGGACTGTGGGATCCTGGGAGGGCAAAGAAGCAGGCAGTTGTTGGTAAGGAGCCTCTGAGAGGCCAAATTGGAGTCAGGTGGCCACTTGAGACACGTGGAATTGCCTCTGCCTTTTGGCCGTGATTACTTTCAGACTGAGGGCCAATGGTGGATGTTTTTGCCAAAGAAAGATCTTAAGAAGGGAAGCCTTAGGGGGTAGACTACGGGAAGGGTCAGAACCCCCTGCATTTGAAGGATTCGCTCCTTGGGGAGGGGTGGCTGCGCGGTGCAATGAGGGGCTTAAGGTCTGGGTCAGAGTCCTGCCTCCATTCCTTACTGGCTGTGTGATCTCTGGCAAGTTCCTTGAGCTTTCTGAGCCTTGGTTTTCCCATCAGCAAACAGGGACAATGACACCTGCCAGGCTGTCATAAATGCCCATGTCACTTACTGTTTAGGTAGACACAGTGCCTAGGACCCAGGAAATGCTACAATTTTAAATTGTCTTAAAATCAGGAGAAAAATGAATATAATAGTAAAGAATTATAACAATGACCTCAGCCTGATTAGTGTTCGTCCTTCTTCCAATGCAGGGTATGTGTGGCAGATGTTTTTGAGGAAAGGGGTCTATCTCCCAAAGGTCCACAAAGTTCCTGGGGCCCCAAAGAAGCCACAGGAGGCCTAGAAATGCCCTGACACAGCGTGGGTGCTGGGCTCCATTCCTGAACACCCATCCTGGCTGGGCACTGTTCTCAGAGGTGGGGTGGAGGGGAGATAGCCAGCCTGTGCCTTCAGAGAGCTAGCAGGAAAGTCAGCCTTGAGCACAGGAGGCTGCAGCCCCATGACAGAACGGGGCACGAGGCACAAACGCCAGCTCCCTTTTGCTTGTCCTCAGCAGCCCTGCTCGGTGACCAGCACTGTTTTCTCCCCAGCTCCTTCAACAGCATGTCAATTCCTGACCTTCATTTATGCCACCAACTTCCATGAAGACCCCCGCCTATTTCTCTAGGACCTTTCAGACATTTACTGCAGAAGACAGTGTGTCAGGACATTCTGGTTGGATGCATTTGTGATGGGAGAGTTCCCTACCACCTCTGGTGGACACAGCGTCCCCACGAATACTTCCATCTATGCCCCTGGCCTCCAGTGACCTTGGAGTGATCCACTCCTAGAGGCTTTTGCCTAATCTTTTCTGGCAGGGGTGGGGAATTTATTACTAGCACTGGAATAGGTAGGGTCTTGGAGCAATGAATGACAGACCCGTCATGGGATGTGTTTTCTTTTCCAGAACCCCAGAGATGAAGGGCCTCCTCACCCTGGCTTGGTTCCTGGCTTGTAGTAAGTGCTGGCCCCATGACCTTCCTCCCTGTAGGAGTAGAAAGGAGGTAGGGGATAGAAAGGAGACCAGTCTTTGAGGTGGTAGAGACCTGAGGTTGAATCTCAGTTCTGCACTTACCTCGCAGATGTAGACACCATCAAGAGCTTTGGTTTCCCCGAGCCTTCTGTGTCCTCTCTGATACAGGATGGCACTGTGAGCAGAGAGGACTGTGGGACGATTCATACATTGTAAGTTGAGGTGTAAAGGTTGTCACCGTGAAGTTATATGGCTTACAAATGTGGCAGGCAGATTTTTTTCCTGGGATGTAAAACAAAATGAAACACCACAAGACCTTATTAAAATATTCCAGCCCATGATTCTTGGGTTGCCCTCTGCTCAGGCCTATTCCAGCCCTAAGTTACCTCCTGACTGGGAGGTGACTCACACCTGGCTTTAGGCTGTCCTGCTGCAGTCATGCAACCCCACACACGGCCCCCTGACAGTTGCTTTGGCCCTTGACATCTTGCTAGATCTCTGGAGATCCCAGCAGGAACTGGAGGACAGGGACAGGGAGAGCCAAGGGCTCACAGCCTTTGAACTCCTGGACACACTACTGTCCTTCCAGACTTAGAGGGCACCTCAGTTTCCCAATTTGCAAGGTGAGGGGCTGGCTTCAGGGATTTCTGAAGTTCCCATTCTATGCCTTATGTTCTAGAACATTCTATGTTCTTGTGTCAGATGATGGGGTGAGGGAGAAGGGAGAACTGCCAGGAGAAGCAGGAAGCTCTGTCTGCCTGCTTCGCACGATAACCATGGAAACGCACTAATATTTCCCAGGCTCTCACAGTGTGCCCTCACCACAACTTCAAGAGGTGGGTGCTAATTTTAGACCCCCATTTCCTGAATGAGGAAGCTGAGGTTCTGGGTGATCAAGTGTAATTCCATACTTCAAATTAGTAGCAAGGTCAGGATGTGAACCCAAGTCTGTTCCTTTCCCAAGTTCACACTCTTAACTACTTCTCTATGCTCTTTGCCCTCACCTCTGCTCCCCTCCCACTAATTGGGAAAATAAAAGAGGGCAGGAGAAAGGGCACGAGGTGCTGAGAAGTAGGCCTGCAGTGGGGTGCCAGGTGTCACCTAGGGACTCGGGCTGTCTTTCAGGTGTGCCTGCTGTGCCAGGGGGGTTGCTTGACCTGAAGTCCATGATCGAGAAGGTGACTGGACAGAACGCCCTGAAGAACTATGGCTTCTACGGCTGTTACTGTGGCTGGGGTGGCCGAGGGACCCCCAAGGACAGCACTGATTGGTGAGTCAATGTCATCATTGCCCTTATGTTCTGGACTCTGCTCTCACATCCCATTCAGATCTGTGTGTTTAGAAACTGAGCATTCAAGCACCATTTTATAGTTAGGAAAAACTGAGGCTCAGAGAGGTTAACTGGCTTGCTGAAATATGTCAGGTAATGCCAGATGGTCTCAAGATCTCAGGCCTACAGCAACACTGGGTTCATTGCGGCATAACAAATGGTCCTAATACAGCGGCTTAGAACAACTTCCGCCCTTTAGCTGGCTTACAGATCTGCCTTCTGGGTAGGGCTTGGTTGAATGACTCAGACGCTCTGCTCTGTTTCAGCTTGGGCAGCTTGGCTGGCAGGTGATCACTGGCTGCTGGTGAGGAGCCCAGGTTGTGGGCCATGGTCCTCTGTTCCTTTCACTGAGGCCTCTGCAAAGATATTTGGACTTCCTCACAGCATGGTGACTCTTGGTCCTGACAGCGAACACTCCAAAACTGCAAGACAAAAGAGGATGACATTTTTTATCATCAACCTCAGAAATCCCATAGTGTCACTCACACTGTCTTCTTGGTGCATCCAGGAAGACTTTAAGGGAGAGGAGACCTAGATTATAGGTGCAAAGTTACAAGAAGATAGGAGTAAATTTGGACGTTCTTACCTAGCAAGGTGGCTCGCACAGCAGGGTAACTGTAGTTTTAATGTAATAAATATTTTTAAAGAGCTACACGAAGGATTTTCTAATGGTCTCACCACAAAGAAATGATGGCTGTTTGGGTGATGGATCACTTCATATTACCATAGTAATATGCAGAGTGCCCCATTGTACCCATAAACATACAAAGTTATTATGTGTCAATGTTTAAAAAAGAAGGGACCTAGATTCCACCTCTAGATTGGGAGGTGTCACAGTTCTAGAATATGCGTGAGAGATGCTGTTCATTGGAAACTCAACCTACCCAGTTTACAATGCTGATGCTACTAGATGAGCAGAATACAGCACATGGATTGGGGGAAACAGACAGCAGGAAGTGGAGCCAAGTTCCTCGCTGTTGGAATGGGAGTTTACAGCTAAGCAAGGGGAGAGCTAGAATGAGCTATGTGGTAACAGATTAGGGCTGGAGGCATACTGTGAGCGTCTTAGGGTTAACCTGGATGTAGCTGGTCACGTACAAAGATACATAGAGATGTGTTTATCCACGGGTTAATATAGACACATACATATTTTGCCTTAACCACTAAGAGGGGCTAAAAGAAATAACACACCCAAGGCAACAAATCTGAGCAACAAAATAAATGACCCACACCCCAGTGTTAGTATGAAACAAAAATCAGGTAAGTCTCAAGAGTGGGACATCCAACAAAATGCCCAACCAGTGTTCCTCAAACTGGCAAAGTTGAGACATCTACATCGCCAAGGAGAGATGGTAGTTAAATGTAAGGTGGCTACCAGGATGGAATCCTGGGACAGATAAAGGACATTAGGTGAAAACTAAGGGAGAGCAAATAACTATGAGCTTTTTACAACTAATGAAGCAATAATGATGTAGTAGTACTTAGTTAACTGGTAGTTATTGAACAATACATTAATATTGGTTCAATATTAATGGAAATTATAACACACTGGTATAATAATAGGGAAAGCTGGGTGTTTCCCCTGGATGACCTCAACTTTTCTGTAACCCCCACAAAATTTTAAATGCAACCTGCCACCCCTGAAATATTAAAAGTTCATTTTTTTGCTCAGATAGCAGTTCCACATGAATCATGTTGATTCAGGGACCTGAGCCCCTTCCATCTTGTCGCTCAGCCACGCTCTATGGCCTCAGGTTCCTTGGCTGGGTCATCTCCATCCAGCCAAAGGATGGAGAAAGAGAGGAAAATGGGTGGGAGGTTTGGAAACGGGATGTAACACTTCTGTGCTCGTCCCCTGGCCAAGCCTAAACTTGCGGCCACACCCACCGCAAGGGAGGTTGTGAAATGTAGACTGACTATGAGTCCAGGAGGAAAAAGGGGTCAGCTAACTGCTGGCCAGTGGCAACCCTAGTAGAAGAGAGGGAAGTATTCAGTCATATTATCAGATCTTGTCTCTACCAGCCCACGCCCTCTAAAGTGGCCTCTGCCACAGGACAGAGTTGAATTTTTGCACTTGTTAAGGATGAAAGCCTAAATAACATGTAATCTCCAAAGAACAATCCCATTGGTTTGGGAACTGCAGGGCCTTACAGAGGGAACACATGTGCAATAGCCAACTATGGGCATAGTCAGGAGGCTGAAGCCAGGGGAAGTGTTTCTTAGCAGAAAAGGGAGATTATTTACATAAGCCGCTTGGATACACAGCTCATTGGTCTAGGAGACCCGAGGCAAGAGCTGGCTGCCAGCTCATTGGTGGAGGTGCCGTTGCTAGGCAAGTGTTCCTTGCAGAAAATCTTCTTGAATTGTCACAGGCTTAAAGAACATTAAAGATAAACTTCTTTTCCAATAAACTGTGCACACAGGCAAGTTAGGCACAATATGGGGCACATATAGGACAAAAAGGACATCCTTAGGAAAGTTCTGGTCTCAGGCAGGCAGGCACAAACCCTCCTTTTGGTTTACTCCCGGCTCGCCTTATGTTTAGGCCTGATAAAAATGGTTTCATCTTGCACTCTTTCGCAGGGCGTGAGTCAGGAGGGGGACCCTCCCTCCACTCAGGACCCCAGTCTCTTGCTTTGGCAGGTGCTGTTGGATGCATGACCACTGTTACGGGCGGTTGGAGGAGGAAGGCTGTAGCATACGGACACAGTCGTACAAGTACAGATTTGCACAGGGCCTGGTCACCTGCGGTAAGGCTGGGCTTCCCATTCAGGTCAGCCGAGTTCAGCTGCCCGAGAGGCCAGCCAGTCTGTGTCTTGGGGAGACAGAGCAGGGACAAGAGGGCAGGGCTGCTGCAGCTCTATCAGACCTCCAGGGAAGGACTGACAAAGCTTAGACCCAGCAACCACCAGGTGCCAGACTTCCTTTTACTCGATCCCCCCAATACATATGGGGAAGGTTTGGTCTCCCCCATTTTATGCATAGGGAGACAGAAGCTCAAAGGATTATCAGCGTGCAGCAGATTCACGCTCAGGTCCTCTGAGTTCCAAGCTAAGTCTGGGAACTAAATGTCATGATTCAGTTCCTCTGAGCAGAGGTGGTCTCCACTCTCAGGCTGTGTGTCTCCTCCATCAGATTAACATGCTGCCATTTTAGGAGCTAGGAACTTCCTCAGAGCAAGACACTAGGGAGGAGTCTGCACAGACTAGAAGCCAGTCCTCAGACTTGACTTTGAGCCATCAGCATTGGTAGGGTGCATCTTTGCTGTCCTCATTCTACGTTTGGTGTCTCTTTTGCAGAACATGGGGCCTTCTGTCCAGTGCAACTCTGCAAGTGTGACCGGAAGCTTGTCTACTGCCTGAAGAGAAATTTGTGGAGCTACAACCCTCATTACCGATACTTCCCCAACATCTTCTGCTCCTAGTGGTGCTCTGTGAGCGCCTCTCTGACCCTGACCTCTCCTACAGCAGGAGTTCCCCTCTGTGGATTCCTGACAGCCACCTCCAGGGCTTGGATCTCATCTTCCTCCAAGCTCCAGTGGGCTGGAAGGAAACCCAGGGCCACACTTGGCCCTGAAGAGAGTCCCAAGAGAGTGGCCCTGGTTCAGGACTTGGCCGGCCAGGTCTCAGGGTCACTGGGCCTCCATTTGTGAGGTTGGCCCCTCTGGGACCCAGCGCTCTCTTCTAGATCTGCACTTAATTTTTGGTTTTTGCAATCACATTATCACCATGGCCCTCCAGGGAATTTTCCCTGGAGTAGAGGCAAAATTGACTCCATAAATCTGCTATGTAGATATTAAATAAAACTCATTCTCAAGGCTACTGAATCCACACAGGCACTTCTTCTGCTATGGGGGTTGCCTCTGTCTCTCTCTCTCTGCCATGGGCACCAAGCCCACAGTTATCTGTACACTCTCAGACACAGAGAGATGATCAGGAAGCACAAGAAAGGTTTCTGAGATGAGCTTCCAGCCTTCTCTTGGGGTCATTTCCTTAAACTTTGGGGTCCTTTGAGCCAACTGCTGGATTTCATTGTTCTTTAAGGGCTGGGGGGAAAACATAACAGGCAAATCTGCCAGCGTGGGCTCCAGGAGGGCAGCATTCAAGTCCCAATCTGGCTTCTCTGGCTGTGTGGCCTTGGATCCATCACTGAACCTCTCTGACTTGCAGTATCTTTGAAAAAGAAATTGCCGTGCTCCTTACAGCATAAATGAGATTCCTAACACTCACCTTAATGCAGAAACAGGGATGCTGCTGGAGTTCTAGGATTTCACAGAATAGGGAAAAAAAGTTTTGAATAGTGTTCAAGGGTCTGGAAGTATAGCTCAGTGGTAGGGTGTTTGCCTAACATGTGTGAGGCCCTGGGCTCACCCCCAGCTCCTTAAAAAAAAAGAAGAGAAAATAAAAGAAAAGGATTCAGCTATGGGGTTCATTTTTTATCAAGGGCATTTAAAACCCCAACTCATCTATCTATTTAAAAACAAAAGGGCCTTCTAATACCAAGATTGCAAAACAAAGGAGAGTCCTTTTCAAGAAAAGACCTTTGTACTGACATACCCCAAATAACCACATGAGAAATAGAATCCATATTTAAAGACTGTGTTGAACATTTTCTAAATAAAACTTAACTTTATGAGATTACCGTGAATGCACCAAGTGCTTTGTACACTTGGTGACTATATTTAACAATGCAACAGAGTGGGGCTCAAATGCCTAATTTGCTCACAAAAATGTTAAAATCAAAACCATTTCCCAGATCCAATCTTGAGTGGGTTTGTGGGGGAAATCAGAAACTTCCTTCAGATGCCAATTCTCATTAGTCATGAAATTCTAGATGATGTGCAGGTCAAGAGCCAGTCCGGATTTTGTTTTCTGGTAAGTTCTGTGGAAGAAGCTGTGGGCAGCCCCTCTCACTGGGCATCCTGGCTCAGAGCTCGAGTATCCAGACAAGCTCAGATAGGCAAGGGAACTTCATTCACCTACTGGAGAACTGTGGCTCAGAGAGGTAAGGAGACTTTCCCAAAGTCAACAGCACATCAACAGCCAAAGTAGGATTAGACCTTAGATTCTGGCTCTAAGCCCTGAGCCCTGGCCACCATCCCACACAGTTTTCAATCCAATAAGGGAGAAAATAGGAACACAGAGCATTTCAGGGACTCACCAACACTGGGGGTTCTCAGAAGATGCCCTGGATGCTAGTCAAAGGCCATCTCCAATTCTTCTCTACTCTAACTGCCTCTTTGAATCCCAGAGACCAGACTGTTGGAGTGGCTCAAGTGGTAGAGCGCCTGCCTAACAAGTGTGAGGCCCTGAGTTCAAACCCCAGTGATGCCAAAAAAACAAAAGAATCCTAGAGGCCATCACTGGGAGGTCAGTCTGGGCTCTAGGCTTCATCCTCCGTGGAGGTGACCACCAAGGCCATTGCCACCCTGGAACCACCTTCATTGCTGTGAAAGGTCTGCAGAGCTATTGAGAGCTAACCGAGCCCCAAAACCTGGAAAGAGGTGTTCTCCTGATTTGCTGACCCCTTCACTGGCAGGAGCACCATCAAAGGGGCCATCCCTCCCAAAACCAAGACATCAAAATGTGCACAGTAACCCCCAAATACCCCCTAGATAGATCTTTATATAAAAGCAGGCAGATAACACACATCTGCACTCCGTGAGCAGACTGACTGGTAACAAGTCCTCTGCTGGCATCTGAACTTGTAAAATGATCTTGGGAGATGCTCATAGCTGTCCCCAAACTGAAAGGAGTCAAAGGTCAAAAGGGAAGACAGCAGCTGGTGGAGAAAGAGCAGGATGACAGAGCTAAGGTGAGCTAATGGGCCAGCAGGTGTACTGAGGCCCTCCCCTGTGCTGGACGCTAACTACACCTGATCAGCCACCCTGGGAGACAGTTATTGTCACCCTGGAACTCAGGGAGGCCAAGTGTTTTGCCCGAGGCCATACAGGTAATAGGGAAGACAGGTGGGAAGGAAGCAGCAAGCTGCCTAATTAGGAAGTTGTGTTCTTAGGCTGTGGAACACAGAGATGATATCAGACACAGGAGCTGGACACCTGGGCCAGGTCTTTCAACAGGCATTGAAGGAAAACATTTTGTTTTGTTTGGGGTGGGTATGGTAAGTACCGATTGTGTAATGTTAGCCTACGTGATGTTTCCCAGAATTCTTTTCCCTACAGAGTTTAGGATTGGCAGGGCCCAGGTTGGTGTTTTGTGGGTGATTTGTTTGGAAGGTAGAAGTGAATTAGCAGCTGTATTCCTTTAGCATTTGGAACGTCAGAGCCAGGCATGAAATCTGCTTATGGCTCAGATGCTCAGACCTGCTGTCACATGCCTTGCTGGTGTCAGCCTGCTAGGTCTCTTCCTTCAGCTGCTCTGACTTTGGGACAAGGTGTGTGTTTAGCTCCGTTAGTGAAGGAGGCTGCATCTCCTGCAGGATGCTGCAGCAGCCCAGCTGGGCCTGAAGATGCCAAGACCCACATGGGTCTGGTCCATCCCTGTGGGTGCCACTTGTCCTTACTCCCCACTCCCTTCACATCCATCCTCTTTTCTAGACTGTCTGCATTGCTAACTTCCAGCTGTAGTACCAGACACAGAAAAAAGGGCCTTTTGTAGCTTGCAAAGCCAGTCGTCCTACTGCGCGTGTCAAGCTTCCATGTCAATGTGTCACAGAGCTTGAGGATGGCTCTCTGACTTGCTAGGGGTAATTTACAATTGGTTTTCTTTTGCCATGAGATTTAAAGGCATTAGTGAGCTAGTGCCGTGGCTTAAGAAGTAGAGCTCTTGCCGAGCATGTGTGAGGTCCTGGGTTCAACCCCCAGTACTACCAAATTTTTTTCTGAAAAAAATTTAAAAAGACATCAATGACTGGCCTTTAGTGGTAAAGGGAGCACCAATTTTCTGTGGCCTGCAGGAATAAAACAGCTACTTGAATGACCACCTATATACACCCTGTTCAAGAGCTTTGTCTACACAGGCTTCGTGGTGCCATAGAGCACTGTAGTGGAAATTAAAAATGTTATGAGATTGGATAAAAGAAAACAATGGACTCAGGCTTTAAATTGTCCCTTAAGAGCTGAAGGAGGGACACCCTCCTGTGCCTGCCTGGGCAGAAGACAGTTGCCTGTTAGAGATGCATGATGGCCGAGTGCACTTCATCCAAAGGCGCCTCCCATCACAGTGTCTGCTGCTTCTCTTCACCTGTCTGTCAATTCATGCTTTCAGCACATGGGGCCAGCATTCTCCTTTGCTGTCCCTCTGCCTGGTGAAATTCTCCGTCCCTGTCAGGATCTGGTCCAGAGGGACCTCGACTTCATCATCTCTCCATCCACAGGGTATGACGCTGGTTCATCCCATAGGGGTCATCGTGCCAGATGGACCTGGTGATTGTGAAGAAACAGCTACTTTAGACTCAGGAGTAGGACACCTTCGTGAATGTTAGCCATTTCCAGTGGGGGGAGGTCCCGAGGCCAGGGACATGTTGACACCTCTTTCAAAAGAAACTGCATCTGACCTCCCCCAAACTCATTGAGAAGGACACACAATGCCCTGCAGGCCCTTTGGATTTGGGGGACACATCAACGTGCTCACTTGGTTGTTACTTTAACTTATTGACCAAATGACCTGAACAGCTGCCAGCAACTGGGACTTGGAACAAGAGAAGGTTCTGTGGGTGGCTGAGCAGTGGCTCCTTGGAGTTTATCTCACTGCTACTGAGGACTTGAATCACGAAGTTTGTAGTACAAACTTTCCCAACATTTTTTACAGACCAATTAACTAAAAAGTGTTCTTCAATTTAGAATGATAATTGCCTAGTTACATGGATAAATGAAAACACTGCAAAGGGAATACTTGATGTCTTCTTTCGATATTTAAAAAATATTAATTCATGCCACATTTTCTTTATCCATTCCTCTTTGACGGGCATCAAGGTTAAGTCTATGGCTTGGCTATCGTGAGTAGTGCTACAATCTGTGGCATATATTCACAATCAAGTATTATTCAGTCATTAAGAAGAATGAAATCATGTTTTCTGCAAGAAAGCAGATGGAACTGGAAATAACCACACTAAACACACAGAAAGATAAGTATTGCATACTTCCATCTGTGGAATCAAAATACATAAAAATAAAGACATGAAAGTAGGAGGAGGAACCGTTAGGGACTAGGAAGGGACTCAGTGGGGGGGGCAATAAATCTGATCAAAGCACTTTATCTACATTAAGAAAATGTCCTAGTGAAACCCACTATTTTGTACAATTAACATGCACCTATAAAAACATTAAAGTGTGGGTGCGGGGGCTCTGTAACGGGCTTCACATAGACAATGCTGTCATGTGACCCAGCAGATCCAATGGTGCTCAAAATGCCTGCAGTTGGACCTGTGGATGTCTCAAAGGTCTCGGGTAAGGAGTGAGCATCC